CAGCTCAGAGCCTGGAGCCTGCTTCGGATTCTGTGTCTCCTTCCTCTCTCTCTGCTGCTCCCCCACTTGCACTCTGTCTCTCTCAAAACTATATTAAAAATGTTTAAAAAAATTAAAAAAAAAAAGCAAAAGAGTGGAATAAATCACAAGGATGAAAGGTACAGCATGGGGAATATATAGTCCGTGGTACTGTAATAGTGTCGTATGGCAACAGATGGGAACTACATTTGCGAGTGGCCTCATAGCAGAATATCAAATTGCTACCTTATACACCTGAAACTAACGTTAACATTGTGAGTCAACTATACATCATTTTTTAAAAAAGCAAAATACAGTGAACAACCTATGAAATCTTAAACAATAGGGAGCTAGATGAATTATATATCCATGATGGTATACAATACAGGCAATAAAAAAACTTATGCTGTCAAATATTTAAGAAAAACTGCTATCGTGAACTTAAAAGTTTACAAAATTACACAGCAGTCAATATGTGGTAAAAGAAATAAAGAAACTATTAAGGAAGTATGTTACAGTGCACAGTGGTTATGCACAAGATTTCAGTTTCCTTTATATTTTAGTATTTTTCAGATGTACTACAACGAAGGCTATTACTTTGAATATAAAGAAGTTTATTAAAATAACTATTCTGCATTTCCTTGTATTCCCATGATGTAAAATGCAGGAAAAGGTTTTAAAATACCTCAGCCATCTGAAATGAATTAAGTTTCCACACATAAATATAGAAAACATAACGGAAGGTGCAAGTAGTTTATATTTTCAATTCTTGAAACTGAATTTAGCAAACAGTCTCAAAGAACAAAAAATCACTCCACTACTCTTAATTTATAAATGTGTGCCATTTGGAGAAGATAGTTTTCTGGAAATGATAATACCCAAAGGTTTAGTGAAATTAGTGTCTGGGAATATGAACTAATCTGAACATTATTCAGGAGACTGTCTGAAGTTTACTATCATCTACCCAATCTTAAAATGCATCATTCCTTTTTAGGAAATATGCCATCTTGTTATAACATCAGAAGTCAGGTGTATTTCAGGGGGAAAATGATTCCTGAATGAAAAAATAAAAGCTCTTACCTAAAATCAAAAACACCTTTCAGTGATAGGAAGATATCTGTCAGAATCCCCACCCTTCTACAACTCCAGCGGGTGATGAAAATCAGTGTTTGGTAAATATCTATGAACACATACGGGCTTTAGAAATAATACAGCCCTTCAGGGGCGCCTGGGTGGCGCAGTCGGTTAAGCGTCCGACTTCAGCCAGGTCACGATCTCGCAGTCCGTGAGTTCGAGCCCCGCGTCGGGCTCTGGGCTGACGGCTCAGAGCCTGGAGCCTGTTTCCGATTCTGTGTCTCCCTCTCTCTCTGCCCCTCCCCCGTTCATGCTCTGTCTCTCTCTGTCCCCAAAATAAATAAATGTTGAAAAAAAAAATTAAAAAAAAAAAAAAAAGAAATAATACAGCCCTTCAAATGTCTTTAAATTTGTCCAATTACTTTTAGGATTAACATGCAGAAATAACCATAAAAAGGTTTCAATTAAGCAGGACAAATAATTCACTTATTGAGTCAGAAAAACATAGTGAAGGGTTGGCACACACAGAGGATGCTAAACATGGAGGCCAATATATGCCAAAGTTGTGCTGCTTTAATGGAGCAACTATTTCATAAGAGGAATTGAAGCACTGAGAGGCTAAAAGAGAAAACTGACCTATTGTCTTCAGAGAGATCTTACAAAGACAAATTTCAGGCTCCTCACAGTGTCCTTGGCTTTTAAAGTTCAAGAGTGTGATTATCAACCCAGTTTACATTTTTAATCTAGAGCTTATCAAAACAATTTCATCATGACTTACCTGCAATCCCAGATTGAAATAGTACTGCAAAACTTTTGTATCTAAAATTAAAAAAAAATAGTAATAATACAAAATAAATAAATAGAGCTAACTTTAAAAATGTAACGTCACAGAACTTAAAACGTTTCACAAATAAAAACTAGATATACAGGAGAAGAGGGTAGTCTTACTGTTCTAATTATATCTAAATGTATTTTTATTGACTGACCCAGGATACATGTATATTCTTACAAATATAAGAACTTGAGTCCCACAAACAAATGAACTCTAAGAAAACTCCCCTTAAGTTGGAGACTTCGGATACATACAAATATATTCACTATACCACTCTAAATGCCATCAGTTTGTATTTTGACTATTATGTGGGAGTGGAGTATAAAGACAAATGGTTAAGCTAAAGAATATGAAAAGGTAATAGCAGGAAGTAAATTCACAAATGGCATGGGATTCCATCCCTTGGTGTGTGTGTGTGTATACTCCTAGGTATTTGCCCAAAGGGAATGAAAACGTTATGTTCATAAAGACTTTTTATAATACGCATAGCCTTGGGGCACCTGGGAGGCTCAATCAGTTGGGCGTGGGACTCTTGATTTTGGCTCAGACCATGATCTCACAGTTGAGGAGTTGGAGCCCCAGGCCAGGCTCTGCGCTGACAAAAAAGGAGCCTGCTTGGGATTCTCTCTCTCTCCCTCTCTCCCTGTCCCTTCCCCTGCACCCTCCCTCCCTCTCTCTCAAAATAAATAAATATTAAAAAATAAACATGAATAAAAAGCCCCAAAATGGAAGTAACCCAGATGTCCATCAACAGAAGAATGAACAGAAATAGAGACTCTTAAATACAGAGAACAAACTGACAGCTGATGGAGGGGACAGGGGAGGGGGAAATGTGTGATGGGCACTGAGGAGGGCACTTGTTGGGAGGAAAAGAACCCTCGCCCAAGTCTCAAAATCTCCTTACCTTGAGGCAGATCACTACCACTTGGATCACAGGAATAAGGTGGAGGTGGAAGTGGTGGTGGTGGGAAGTTTGAAGCCTCTCCCACCTCAAGAGGTGGAGGTGGTAAAGGAGCAGCAGTGGTGGCAGTGGCAGCAGCAGCAGCAGGAATAGGAGGAGAAAGGTATGGATAGGATGGCGAAGCAATCACTAAAAAAGAAAAAGTAGGAATGCACACCTGTAACACCTTATCAGCAGTAGTTCATCTACTTCTTTTGTGTCTCCAGTATGGTCAAAAGATTCCAATTCTTATGGTTTGACTTAAAAACAAAAACTTGGAAGATAAATTGCCCACCTTCTTAGACATGCCAGTTGAAAACTGGGAGTTCATTACAGGTTACTTTGAGTTCAGGTAATTACTTGAAATTAAAAGAAAAATAATCTGGAAATTGCAGAGTTTTCACCAGCAAGACTTTTTAAAAAAACATCAGCTAACAGGTACAAAAATGAAATATCATTAAAGCAAAATTTTTACTTAGCTTAATACAAACAAAGTTAAGGATGTTTTCAGCCATCTGCCATCCTTAGTCAAATCACAAGATGTAGAAGCTAATAAGAGACTAAATTACACAGATTACAGATTTAAGTAATCCTTGAAGGTTTCTACTTGGTAGCATCATTGGAACATAGGGCATTCTAAATCATGCCAGTTCCATTTGTAAGCACAGAATCTAAAACAGGCTAGATGAACTATCATATTGCTTTAAGTTTCTATACCTATTGTTATAGTTTAAAAACAGTATTCATGGGGTGCCTGGGTGGCTCAGTCGGTTAAGGTTTCAACTTCGGCTTAGGTCATGATCTCACAGCTCTGAGTTCGAGTCCGCATCGGGCTGTCTGCTATCAGTGCGGAGGCTGCTTCCAATCCTGTCTCCATCTCTCTCTGTCCCTCCCCTGCTTGTGCTCTTGCTCTCTATCTCAAAAATAAACATTTAAAAAAAAGTTGGATAAACAACTCTTTGGGGGTGATGGAACTGTACTCTCTTGATTGTAGTGGTGGTTATACAACTCTATACATTGTCAAAACTCAGAGCTGGGCACCAAAAAAGAATTCTTACTGGATCTAAATTAAACAGTAAAATTTTAAAACTTGCCCAACTGTTTTTAGTTTTATCATGTATGTAGAAATCTCCACTTTCACAGTTTTGGAAGACACATTTAATTTTTAGAGTAACTCCAAATATTCTAAAGGCTTTACGAATTTGTTTTCTATAAAACAATGGCTTCTTCAACAAAGCTCTGCTTATATTCCTTTTAAACTAGCACTCAAATCACACCATTTCTTAAAAAGTAAATTAGCAATTAGCTAAAGATACCAGAATGTGATTATGATCACTAGGTAAAAACCAACTACCAGACATAGAGATAGCTAAGTTCGTTCTCACAGACCTGAAACAATCCAACGCAGAAGAAATCTGGAGGTTACTTTATCTGAACTCACCTTCCCTGGAACTGCATTGTGTAATATGCCCCCTAAGAAAAAGCTTTTAGAATTTCCCATTGCTCTGGAGATACATGAGCATCTCATTTGCAGACTTGAAAGGGCTTTATAGGTTTAACAGGTAAAATTTAAGGGATAGCTCCAAAACAATGCAAACAAACCTCCCTAAAATATTAATGGAGGGGTGCCTGGGTGGCTCAGTCAGCTAAGTGTCTGACTCCTAATTTCAGCTCAGGTCATGATCTCCCAGTTCATGGGATCCAGTCCCGTATCACGCTCCACACTGACAGCACAGAGCCTGGTTGGGATTCTCTCTCTTCCTCTCTCTCTGACCGCCCCACCCTGCATGCATGTACACTCTCTAAAAATAAACTTAAAACACATTAATGGAAACAAATGTAGTGCATTCAAAATGCTTATTTCCCCTGTCCATGAATGTACAGTCTGTTTCAGGACATCTCAGAATATGAATACACACAGTAAGACTCAACTTCTCTATATGTCAAAGGGCAGGGACTTGGGTGTAGTGAGGTGCAAAATTTAAGGGGCCACCAAATTAATGCCAAAAATATTCATAATTAGTAAAATATCAAAATTCTAAATAAAGATAGGATCTAAGCCTGCATTTGCATGATCCCAAGAATGAGTGCCTTACTCAATTCATCCTCTGAGCTGACAGCTCAGAGCCTGGAGCCTGCTTCAGATTCTGTGTCTCCCTCTCACTCTCTGCCCCTCCCCTGCTCACACTGTCTCTCCTTATCTCAAAAATAAACATTAAAAAATACATTTAAGTATTATTTACCTTGATTACTGTGATTTTTTGGCATTCCCTTAAATTGTGCGCCCAGGGAAAATGAGTCAATAGTCCTGGCCCTGACAAAAACCTTGGGGACAGTAACAAAACTCAGCAGTATTTAATGCCTATGAGGAGATTCATACTAAAGGCAATCATGGCATCTAACTGGTTGGCAGATTAAGTGACTTCACAATGGAGGATGGGGTGGGGCTGCCACGGAGACACATGAATAACACAATGGGAAACATGAGTTGATTCATCTAGAGGAGTGAACGGAATGTTAAAGAGCAATTAAAAAGCAGCCATGACCTAGCAGAGTTATAACTGAGGTTGAGAAGTGACTCAAAGAACAAAAAGAAAATGTATGAAGGTAGCACACATTTTTAGGAACGTCAACAAAGAACACAAATCTGGCATTTTAAAAATGGTAAGCTTTGAATAAACTGTGCATACATGAGGCATCCCAATGCTTGATTCATCAGTCACTTGGTTTTTTTTTAAGCTCAGCACCCAATGTTTTTCCTTGCAATTGGCACACGGTAAAACCGGGGTCTACATTTAACATTTTCAGTGAAAAATTTCTCTGGTCATCAGTATCATATATTGAATGTTTTTGTTGTAGGCACTGTGCTAGTAAGTACTTAATTTTTAAACTATCAGATACAGAAAACAAATCAAAACGAAGTATTTAAGGTGGATACTATCTAGATCAAGAAATAAGACTTTGCCAGCCACTCCAGAAAACTTCTGTGTGCCCCACCCCAATCACAAACCTCTCTCCCCACCATATTTTAACCATTTACCTTTTCACAGTAATCATTCCTTCATGGTTCTAGGAATTTTGTCACCCAAATGTGTATTCCTGGTTTTTTAAAGCTGATATCCTGAATCTCTTTAAATTGAATCTATTGATCCTTTCTCCATCCCTGTCATTTCCTTTCAGTTTTTCTTTTGAAGAATCTGGGACCTGTGACCTGTTGAGTTTCCCAGAGTCTGGATTTTCCCGATTATATAGTGATGGTATGTTTCAACATGTTCCTCTGTATTTCCTGCCAACAGGCAGCTAGATCCAGGAGACTGGATCAGACTCAGGATTGATTCCTTTGGCACATCTATAGGTAATATTTCTGCAACCTTCATAGCTACTGCTGTTTAACACTCATTCAGTAAGGAATGCAAAATTATTATCTTCACTGATTAGTTAGAATACTAATACGTAAGAACAATTCTCCTTATCTACTATTTGGTTACCCGGTGGTACAGTTCATAGAAGGTAGGCATGATAAGCACTTGATTCTTTCACTTTATTTTCCAGTTTTTAAGAAAATGAACTGGTTTCTCATCACCCTCCTAAGGTGACCAATTTTTAAAATATCATTAAGAACTTTTAAATTTAACATATTTGGTCTGTTCCAGTCTGCTTCGATTATCACTGTTGAGGCCCAGTATTTGTTCTTTTCCCTTACTTTGGTTTTCTTCTTCAGAGACTTCTATCACTGATCTCCTTTGCCTAATGTTTAACATGTCACTTTTGAATCTTTATCTTCCTTTTCTTCATTTTCAATTCCCCCTCCCCTTCTTCCATCTTTCTTTTAAAGTGTCATCGGGGGGCGCCTGGGCGGCTCAGTTGGTTAAGCATCCAATTTTGGCTCAGGTCATGATCTCACAGCCCGTGATGAGCCCCACGTCGGGCTCTGTGCTGACAGGTGAGTCTGGAGCCTGCTTTGGATTCTGTCTCTCCCTCTCTGCCCCTCCCCTGTTCATGCTCTGTCTCTCTCTCTCAAAAATAAATTAAAACATTGAAAAAAATTACAAAAAAATAAAGCATCATCTTTGTATATACCTAATCATGTCCTTTATAGTTCAGTCTTCAGTACTGAAATGACTTTCTGCCATTTCTAATGCTTTCCTATGTTGTCACCTAATTTGAGTTTTTTTTAATTCTGATTGGTTATTTCTTTAAGTTTTTATTCTAATTCCAGCTAGTTATACTCTAATGTTTTAGATTATCTGATCTTTAGCTCATTCTGAAATAGGTGTTTGTTTAGTTGCATTAGTGAGCACATTTCTTGACATGTTTTTACTGCCTATACACAGGTTATTTTTTTGTTCTTAAAACATCTTAGTATAGGATTTGACCTTACTGCTTCGTTACGTGAAATTATTTTTTATGAACTTTAGAATGAGGTGGATACAGGATCGTTCTGTTTTTTGGTAGTGTTCAAACCCAGGACTGCTTTCTAGGATTCCTTGGCTCTGCTCTCATCTTCAGTCTGGATAGGCTCTTTTCCCTGTCCTGATCAATTCTGATTTCACTCCCAGCAGTTTCTCCCCAGCGAGGAGTACTATCTTAAAAGGGAGCCCTGGCAGGTCAGTTTTGAGAGTTCTTAGGGGCCAGATTGCTCCAAGCCCTTCATTTCCTTTACCATGTACCCAAAGCACTCACCTAGTACTGGAGAGATTAAATCCCTTCCCAGTCTTAGGTGCTCCTTCCGAATTGGCTGCCCCACTTTCCAGTGAATTCTTTTTAGCTCTTTTGGGGTTCTCCTGTTCCCAGGTCCATCAGACAACATCCCCGATGCTTCCTTCCATCTTCTTGCTCCCACATAGAAACTGATAGCATGCAGTCCTGGGACTGGTGGTTTGTTCTACCTGCTTAAGTTTTGGGGTGTGTGGGGATACCTTGTCACCTAATTTTATTATAAATGTTGTCCACGGGTTTTGGTTTTGCTATTTCCATTTTTATTTGAAGACTCAGATTAAATAGCTATCCTGTTTTTGCCACCACCTTCTCAGAATTCTGAGAGCATTAAATTGTATTAACTCATTAGAATTTCACAACCACTTCATAAAATTGGTACTATCAGTACCCCCAAGCTACAAAAAGGCTCGATAACTTGTCCAAAATTACATAGCTAGTGAGTTGCAAAACCAAGAATCTAACCTAAATTTCTTAAATTCTACAGCCTATATTCTTTCATGAGAAAATGATTATATAAAAATATATTTCACAGCAAACTTTTCAGGAATTCTGTGAAGTATGAAACACCTCTACTTTCATTCCTGTATAATAAAACTGAAAGTTTAAGAAATTAGTAAAGTCCTCGAAGTTTCCAGCTACAAAATCGTATCAAAGCCAAGATAAATATTGAAATCCTGGCTCTCAAATTTCAAGGATTCCTCAACTACAGAACATACGTTATTAAGTAGGTTAAACTAATTTAATACTAGAAATTAAAGTAGCCCTATCTAATCACTATAATTGTCATTCTATGCGTGTTCACGAATAGGAAAAGAGGCTTCCCCAAGTCAGCAACCACTAACAACCTACCTGGCCTGCTTTGCATAGATGGAGACGTGAGTAGAGGCGGTACAGCATTCTGTGAGGAGGCTGAAGCGGTACTACTAGCTTCATTAGCTGCTGCACAGCTAGGTAAGACTGGAGCTGGAACATTATTGGCACAGGAAGCTGCACCTGCTACAGAATTTGCCATCACCTGTTAAGTGTAGAAAAAAGTTTTAAAGTTTAGGGATTTCTCAAACACCAGGAGGCTCTTTTCTGATCCTCTATTTCAGGATACAGTGTATTTTGATAACGACAACACTGAGAAATTAATCTTTATGTAAACCCTATATAAATAAGATTATTTCTTTTAGGAGACCACAATTACCTTTAAGATTTGTAAATTTTTAATTTATTATTTTTCTGAAAAGGTGATACATTAAGATTCAAATATCAAGTATGAAATTATATACAATGGGATGTTTCCTTCCAACCCCTATCCTCCATCTGCCTAGTTCCCCTCTCCCCAAACAGGTAACCTCTGCATTTCCTACGTGTTATCCAGATACTGTTACATTTATTTTTACATGTGTGTCCATTTCCCCCATGCTAATGCACTTTGTTTTTAATTTTTTTTAATAGAAAAGGTACTTGGCTTTTTTTTTTTTTTGGTACTTTGCTTTTTTGCGTGTAAGCTTCATGTGACTGCAATTGATTTGTCTGATTAGGCCACAACACTCAATACAGTGCTGTGCACAGAGATATGCTCAACAAATAACAACAGACCCTTCTTGAACACACTGTTCTCAATGCAGTCTCCATTTTCTTACCACCCATCGCTGTGTGGCTGCTACCCGTTCTGGTCCTCAGAAACCGAATTCAAAGTCACCAGTGGTCTTCATTGCAACATATCCTAGTAGAATCTTGCTAGTCCTTATGTTGCCTGACCTTTTGGCAGCAACTGACACTTGACTGCTCCTTGAAACATTCTCTTACTAGGGCTTCCAGAATAATACACTCTCCTCTCCCCCTCCTTGGCTATTCCTTCTCTACCTATCTGCTAAAATTTGGTGATCTACAGGCTCTGTTCTGGATGCTCTTCTCAATCTCTTCCTTTTCCCAGGATGATCTTATTCACTCCTATGGTTTCAGCTACCTTTTTGATGCCAAGTCTGTATTCTTTACATTTAAAAGTTTCATCAAATGACCAAATTGACAGCGAATTCATATTAATTTGCTTATTATATAAGAGGTTCGGTATAAAGAGACTATGAGTAGTCAAACGTCAACACACAGAATGTGTCTAGAACACAGGAGATTATCAATTTGTTGAATGAATTTACTAAGCACTGTGCCAGGCACCACAAAGTACAGTAATAGTTAAGATAAGGATATATACATAAACAACTTCTTTTAGGGGAGCCTGGGTGGCTCAGTGGGTTAAGCATCCAACCTCGGTTCAGGTCATGACCTCATGGTTCGTGGGTTCAAACCCCACACTGGGCTCTGTGCTGACAGCTCAGAGCCTGGAGCCTGCTTCGGATTCTGTCTCTCTCTCTCTGCCCCTCTCCCCTACTCACACTCACTCTCTCTCTCAAAAATAAACAAACATTAAAAAAGGTTTTTTAAATAAGATGAAGGGCAAGGAGAACAAAAAGGAAAAAAGTCATTTCCCCCCAACTGATTGTTTGAGAACACTACGAAGATTACCTTCTGGGGATAGTTGTATGAGGTAACTGTGTCCTGAGGAGACATAGAACATGGTCTTCTGTCCTGAAGAGACTTTAATGAATACAGAAGTATAGTTAAATAAGGTGAATCAAGAAACCAAATAGCACATCGATAAAAGATCTGCTTTATTTCAGTATCTTCTTAAATTAGGTGAAAAGTGCTCTGTCCTGAAAGTATTCAGATTTGGAAGCAACTACTAAGAGAACATTCCAAAAGGTATCACTGTAGTGCCTGATTCAGGTGATTGTGCTATTTCCTATCTACAGAGATCCTGATCATATCCAATTCTAGTCCAATGTAGGTACTAAAATGTAATAGAGGACTGTAATTTAAACATTTCTCAGTGGCCTTTGTTGCCTTAAAAGCTTCGAAATCGGTAGGACCAAGAACAGTGTTGCTAAAAGAAAGTATTCCAAATAAAGATGCAGCTTGGTACAAGGGTGGATATCTGGTTATTCAGCTGTATCCTATCTAAGCAGGATGGAGTGAGTATACTCCAAGTAACCACTCCCCTCTGGTTCAAGACCCTCTTTGTGAAAGTAAAAAGATTTTAAAAGGCTCAGAGCTAAGCAGGACAAACAGTCATCACAACAAAAACAAAAAACCTAGCAGCAGAAATTGGTTTAATAATGAAAGTAACATAGAGAGAATCAAGGGAAGTAATCGCAGAAAACAAGAGGAACCACACTGTGACAAAGATGAGCCCAAGTTAACGTGGATCTAAGACTGCACATTTCTAAAGTCTGTGCTCAAGTACACCCAACGCACCTGCCAAAAAGCAAACTTTGGCTTTGGCTCAGAAAGCCCAGGGAGAATGTTAAACAATTCTACAGAAGGATTCAGTTGAGAGTTGGGCACAGAAATAAGAAGTTTCAATAAATGTTCACAGTTTTGTTACAAGACTCTAAAGGCTGGACATCTTTAAGTCCTGCGCTGAACATCTCCCCACAGCATGCTGTGATAAAAATTACTTAAAAACTTGCTACAGCGTTGGTGACTGGGGTGTGGGAGTGGAGCACATCCTGAAGGGACTGAAAGTTACCCGGGATGTATGATAATGGAAATTCAGAACAACAAGGAACATGTGACAAATGATAAAGGGACAGAAAGAAATTAAGTATCTACTCTTGTCAAACTGGATGGTGAGATTTTTGCTTGCTTTTTCACTGGAGTGAAATCACTAGGGTGGCTATTTAAAGAAATGGCATAAAAAGCCGACGAGGAGAATAATAATGGCAGAGTGGGGGGAAAAACTATTCCTCTAGAAGGGACAAGGGAAGGGAAGAGAAATAAGGGGAAGAGAATCACATATCATAGTTTTCTTCATTCCTAAAATGTATCACCTGAACAGTGAAAACAAAAATTCAGTATGTGAAATTAAGATTTGCCATAGTTAGAGAACAAAGTTCTCTATTCTAGAGAACAAGTTCTTAAAAATATCCCAGTTCTCCTTCGGGGTACATGGTCAGCTGTTCTTCCTGGCCCCATCTAAAGTTAGGTGTGGCCATGTGATATATCTGGTCAATGAAATACGAGCATAAGTATTAAAAGCCAGTGTTCAATTACCTTATTTAGTTCTCCAAAGTACCTGTGAAAGCCCATGTCCGTTAGTCTGGGTCCCCTAAGTGACTATGACAAACAAAAGCCTGCTACCAACCTACACTAGACACAGGATTAGCAAGAACAACTGTCCTGTGTTAAACCACTAAGATTTGGGGTGTGGGGGGGGGAGTGTTACTGTAGCATAACTTAGTTGTACTGAAATGGTATTTTGGTAATTAGAAGTAGGGTGCTACTGTAACAAAAATGTCACTTGAAAAGGAGATTATGAGCTTGTAGCTCCTAGGGGAGGTTTGCAAAACAATGTTCGTTTTGTGTTTTGATTACTGTTGGCAGAGTTTAGCAACCTATTTTAAGACAGGTGTGTATAGAAAAAGTAGTTTGTAGGCAGGAATGAAACGGAATAGAGAATCCTTGAATACAGAGACTTACAGGGTTGAAGAGGTAACTGCTTCAACCCCAAACTGTAAAATATAAAATTGATTAAGTGCTTTGGACAACGAAGAGCAGTTAAAACTTGGCTTTGAAACAGTACTCAAATCACTGTTAAAATCTGACTACATTAAGATATCTCAAAGCATGTGTCCAACTAAGGATGCAATATCCATTGAATCCTTGCTCTTGGACAAAATGGCTCACGGAAAAGCCTCTAAAAGTATGGTTCCTCCATCCCTGAGAAGCCCAGGTACTTGCAATCAAGTAGAGAGAGAGACAGAGAGGAATAAGAAAGCAAATTATAGCAAATCTAAGTAGTGTATCTATAGAACGAGAAATGTCAGTATGGCTACCGGCATATAAAACTAATAGGAATCAAACAGAGAAGCAGCATAATAAATTAATCACACAGCCAAAGACACTATGAGAACTAAAACCATCCAACTGAGATAAAACAAGCCTTGGGCTCCAATTTTCTTTGAATGAGAAGCAGGCTGAGAAAGCTCCTCAGCTGCCAAGAAGGACTATTCTCCAATGCCTACTTCAAATATGGCCAAGGAAAGAAGGGCCTTGGAGCAACCAAGAGCCCCAGAAAGCAATGAATCAGAGAGCCTCTCCAGGGAAGAGTCCCCATGTCTAGGTTGTCTGTCCAGGATGTCACCTACAGGCCATGAACTGTGTTTCTCCCATTTTCCCCTCTTTCTGAATGGGAATTTTTACTGCCATTCTTCAGTCGGCTCCACCACTGTAAATTGGGTGCGTAGGGATGAAATAACTTTGTATCTTTGGTTTTAGGCCTCCAAATGAAGATGAGCCACATCTGGACCCAATTCAGAGAACACTACACATTTCCCAGAAACCTTGGGCTCTGAGTTTAATTACACTGAATAAGATTTCTAGATTGCCTCCCTTGAGGTGGAAGCAAGTAATCTGCCTGTGGGAGGGAGTTTGAGTTGAATGTTGTGGTCCTTAGTGCTGTTAAATATTTCAAACTTTTTGACTTTCAGGCACATAGAAATTAGACTCTTCAGTGGAGCATGCTCTGGCAGATGAAAAAGTAAGTGACATGTGTCATCTCCAGGTGGAGGCTGTTATGAGCCAGTGCATCATTCACTACCCTTTTAATGGAGCTTCTATCAGCCCAAGTCCCTGAGCAGAGCCCTCCTGTAGACCTCCAGTGGACGTGGAGCAGAACCAAGAAACAAACTTTTGTTATGTGAAGTTACTAAGACTTGTGGCCCACTCTTACTGAAAAATCATAATAAAATCCCCTAAAAAAAATCATCACTGCCAGTGTCCGAATTTCCTCTTATATCAACACATTAGGACGATCTCTAAATACATTAACACCAGGGTCTTAATTTCTTCATCTACAAAATGGGAGTGAAACCCTACCTCATAGGGTTGTTCTGATTTAAATATATTTCTATATATAGCTCTGAGAACAGTGCCCTAGTACACAGGAGACAGAAGTGCTTGCCATTATTATGAAATACCTACCAAGTTTGCTGCAGATTCAGTTGTGCTATAAACACCTGAAGTTTCATAGTCTGGTTCTAGAGAATATAGCCAAAGTAAAGTAAAACATGAGCATTATTTTACAATTTAAAATTGTATAAACAATGAAGAATGTCAGAGTATATCTAGATCTCACTGACCTGAAGGATAAATATAATCTTCATGATATCTCCCTATAAAAAAAGACAGAAGAAGTGTTTATGTAGGGCTTTTCAGCTCAGCAGAGCCAGATGGCCAGCACTTGCTTTTTCTCAAGTTTTATGGATATATATTCAAAACTAAAATGTCTATGTCCTTGAAACAGGTGATTTGATCTTTCATACCAGTTAACAGATATAGAAGCCAGGGACTGACAGTAAACAGGACAAATTCCTCCTCTGAAAATTTCCTTAGTTCTTAAGAGTTCAGGCAGAGGTGAAAAACCCAGAGCTGTATCCAATCTTTCCAGTCAAGCAGTAGAGTATGATGATTAAATTCACTGGCTCTGGAGTTAGGGCCGTCTAGATTTGAATCCTGACTAACTTATAGAACTTAACATCACTTTAAGTGGGTTATAGTGCATCAATTTCTGCACTATAAAACAGGGGTTAACAGTACCCAGCTCATAGGGGGTGAAAAGAACAGAACATGGTGCTTAATATATATAGTAAATGGTGTCTGTAAAGTACTAAGTATGACCCATAGTTTGCTTAAGTAGACATTAAAGGGGTGTATCATGCCTCATCTGTTTCTCAGGCTGTTTTAAGTAAATAATACTTTTAAAGTTGGTTTGTTCTCAGAGGATGGCTCAGTGAACTAAAGTATTTTGCTTTAAGACTACAATACCATTGAAATGCAGAGAAAATTAATCATCAATTGGACAGTTTTCCACCAAATAAAACCCCACAGGTCAAAACTGGATTTGATTCTTAAATATGTCACTTATCAAACACATACATGCAACCACTCCAGACAGCAAGATTTACAGTGGGAACAAAGATTTGATTACTCTGAATATGCCACTACAGGTGAGCAGTATATCTGAAGGTACCCACCAAGCTAAAGGGAAAAGACAAAAGGGTCATGCTGAGTAGAAGAGCAGAGAACATACACCCTTAAGCACATGCATGCACATGCATGGGGACAAAGTCTTCACAGATCATTCTTGTGCTAGATGTTTTGTCCTCATTAAATTCCCAGAAATACCTTTTTTCTTCTACATCAGTAGTAGAAAGAAGAACATACAAGAAAATAAAGAACTTGACTGCTAAGTCAAGTCACTGAGACTGCCTCACACTGCCTTAATCCACCCAATTCCTCCAGAATTGTTTGAGTAGAATTGTCGCTTACGGATCATTTTATGATAAAATGATAAAAATAAGCACACCCCATAGTGAGAGACACCCTAACAACTGTTAAGAACATACATATAGGCTTTAGTGTCAGACAAACCCAAATTCAAAAGTGATCTCTGCCAATCTCAAAAGACTATATATTGCATGATTACACTTGTATGAAATGTCCAGAATAGGCAAATCCTTTGAGACAGAAAACAGATTCGTGGTTGCCTCGGGCTGGGGGGGAAGGGAGGTTGGTACAGAAAATGGGGAGCGGCTAATTAGTACAGGATTTCTTTTTTGGGGTGACAAAATGTTCTAAAGTTGATTGTGGTGATGGTCATTCACCGCTGTGACTATACTAAAATCACTGAACTGCACACTTTTTAAACAGGTGAATTATATGCTATGTAGATTACATCTAAATAAAGCAGTTATAAAAAAGTTAAATCTCTGTCACTTACTAAAGGTACGACTTTGGCCAGGTCATTTACCCTCTGAACCTCAATTTCCTCATATAACAAACAAGGGTACCAAATTCCTTTGAGGGATACAGTTAAATAGATTAAATTATAAATATACTTAGTACAGTAGATGACCAAGAGAATACAATGAATAGTAAAGTTCTAAGTCAAGTAGACTTCTTCGGGCAAAGACTGTTTTATAGCAGTTTTGTACAATAGAAGCTAGTCACAGAAAAGCCTAAAATATACAAACAAATGGTCTTCACCGTAACAGAAGTGCCTTGCTCATAAGGAACAGATGTTTCCTATACCAAAATCCCACCAAATCAAAACTCACTAAAAGACCTATGCAGAGAGCTGAAAATAAGTTATAACGATGTGGTGGCCTATAGAAATAGAGGTCTGGCCTTCTGAGAAAGACCAAGACATCTTCAAAATCCTAGCAAAGCTCTGAGACAAGAACTGAGAACTCATTCAAAATGAGCTACTGGAAAAGTGTGAGACCCCAAAACCAAAACCTGTTAAGTCTACTTCACAGCCCTGATGACTAATGCCACAAGAATCCTCTTTTAAAGAGACATTTAACTGTAACGGACTCACCATTGTGACTCTGGCCACTGGCCCCTTCTGAGTTCAAGGTCTGTTTGCCTGAGCTATGTCCTCGCCTTGCAACACAGTATCGCGAAGCAGCAGGAACCAGTGTGGAGGGCCCTCCATGACTCTGTACCAAAGACACACAGTTCATCAAAAAAAGCTGTATTTTAATGTACTTTGGAATCAAAATATGTGAGAAAATTATCAAGAAAACAGAAAATATTAGCCCATAAGGCAAGTGTATTTGTCCACCTCTACTCTTTTTCTCTAAAAATAGCTTTAAAAGTTCTCCTCTCCTAGCTTTAAAAGTTCTCCTCTCCCATCTTTAAAAGCTCTAAGATAAAAGCTCAAGGTTTCCGTAAGTGTTTTATTTGCAGTTTGTTCAAAGAGCTAAAACATAGCCACACTGCCTTTACTTAAAAAAAAATAAGAGAAAAAGTAAACAGCTTTTTGATTAAAGCTTTGACCTACTTACAGGTAAAGTTGGATAAGCAGTCTCATCCCCTTCCTCAACTTCGTAAAAGGTAATGGTTTCTTCTACGCCCCTGGGCATCTGTCCATTCTCTGGGGCAAAGCTATACTGGCACTCCTTGTTCATGCAATGCATCTGGCGGTGACTACGTCTAAAGGAACTTAAGTATTAAGTAGTTCAGAGAAAAGGGGAAAAAAGTTAAAATATGGTATGGTAACTTGTTCCAAATTTCTAAATAACTGTTCAAACATCTCAATGCTGACACTAAAAAAAATTTAATCCATGTATTTGTCACTCAGCAATGAAGCCCAACTTGCCCATTTTCTGATTTTCAACATTTAAAATTCACTTACCGAGATCTATAGGAGAAGTTATCATAGCCCTGGCAACACCTTTTACCTGGGCCAGGGTAAAAACCAACTTTAGGGGCTTCCATGTTATGCCTGTTGATAAAGCGAGATGAATCCCTAAGAATGAAGGGAAAGGAAAACAAAACTGTTTATCTAGTAATTGGCACTTAAATAGAATTATTTATCACGTTATCGGCACTTAAGTAGAATTAACACATTTTTCTAAAAATATCCCAATAGAAAGAGCTGTTCTGCCCTCACTACTTGTATTAGGCCTATCCATTATTAGTGGATACAGTGCCATATCCACGACACTCATCTTGATAGCTCTAGCTTATCTCTTCAACCATTCCGTATTTGTTCAGTGAGAATACAATAAATTCATTTGAAAAAAAAATTTGAGTACACATCAGTTCCATCCACTAAGCAAAGATTATAAAAGAAAGCTAAACTATTGAGATATTTCTAAATTCTACTTTAATTCTGTCTAGGAATTGTTCACAATACCTAAATAGAGATGTACACTACCTTGGAAGTCAATTAAGCCTTACCTGGGCATCCCATATCCCCGACCCTGTCTCTGAGGTGGATGTTGAGGATGGAAATGCTCATTAGACAGGACATTGGCAGCTGTCTGTGCGTAGTGCACTGAAGGGTCGTGCCCATAATGCATGCTGTGCTGAAGCCTGGGCGGGAGGAAGGCGTCTCCCCTGCCGTAAGCCATAGTCACATAAACCTCTTTTCCTCTAACTTTTTTGAACATCTTCTTCCGTTGCTTCATGTCCATCTCTGACATAGCTTTCAGGCAAACAAAGTAGGAAATAAGCTTCATAACCAAGCCAAGAGATCCAATCCCCCCCACCCACCCAAATGCCTAGAATTTTTAAGGGAACAAACCAAATAAATACAGGAAGGTGATGACTGTATTTTTTAAGGATGTACTAGATCTTCCATTTGGAAGGGCAAAACCAGCAGGCAATTTCCCCTATCAATGGACATCTCCACACAATCTTTAGTTCAGGTGGCTTTGCTCATCAAAACACATTCAGTCACCTACATTACTTATTTTCCCAGAAATTATGGCTACTAATAGAATGTCTGCTTCTATGAGGTGTTTTCCTAGTTCTCTGAGAAATCCTTTCAAGTTTTAGAGTCTAAAATCTACTCCAGCTTGTTAGCACAAAGTCCCCTGAACAGTGGTTCTCTACCAGACAATTTTGCCCCTCCCCACCCTGAGACCCATGTGGCAATGTCTGGAGACGTTTTTGGTTGTTGCAACTGTGGGAAAGATGCTACTGGCATCTAGCAGACAGTCAAAAGATGCTAAGCAACCTACAATGCATAGGACAGCTGCACACAGCAAAGTTTTCCATACCAAAATGTCAGTAATGCTGAACTCTACCTGAGAACAAGACTTCCGTTAGATCTTAAGAAGGGGTAAAGAATAAAAACCTTCAGTATACAAACCCATTTCTGGGACATAGCCCCCGGAAATTTTCTGGTAACCTCTTCCTTTCCGACTGGGCATACCACTCCAGGCAGGAACAGGTGTGACTTGGGTAACTGGTTTTAAGTTAGCCAGTGGAACAACATGCCTTAAAATTAAAGATACCACCATAAAGCCGCTGCAACACAGACTTAATTTTCACTGGATATACATACCCTCACCCATCCACTTCATTTCAAGCATTTTCTACTTAAACTTGTTGACACACTTGCTACCCTGGTGAGGTTTTCTTTTTAGGTTAGAAAACCTAAGAGTAATTTGTACAATTTCACAGCTATTTGTAGCATATATCACGTTCCAGAGGAAAGACTGTGACAGACTAGTCTACAAATATTTGTTGCCTTTCCTTGGAAGAGGATGATAGTTTCCCATCATTGACTTCAGGCTCAGCTATGTAATCCACTTTGGCCAATAAAACACAAGGAGATGCTTTAAGAACCACCACGTGGTTTGTCATGTTCGCCTCTTTCCCCTATGATCATGGAAATGGGTCTAGATAGAGCCTTTGATGGCCTGGATCCCCTTTTGTGACACACTATGAAATGCTAAATGAACACAAGAAATGAACTTGTTTTAAGCTACTGAGTTTTTGGTTAGAAGGGCAGCTTAATCAAGTTAAATGGTTCTCAAAGTGGACCAATAGCATTAGTTATCACCTGGAAATTACTGAGAAGTTCAAATTCTTGGGCCCCATCAGATATACTGAAACCAGAAACCCTGGGAATGGAGTTCATCAATCTGTTTTAACAAGCTCTCTAGGTAATTCTGGGGCATGTTAAAGTCTGAGAATTACCAGACTAGCTTATCTTGGTACAGGCAGAAGCTTGTTTAGCAAACCAGCTTTCCAATTAGTATGAATGGTTTTATACCAGAATTCTGTTGTATTTAGTATTTCTGGTAAGTTGACTACAGCCTAGGGATTTGGAAACTTTTATATACAAGTATACTGAGATTTCATATTTCAGCATATGCTTTTACAATCTGAGATAAGTCATCTTAAGCTGGTACCAGATGTAACTCTGGATCTCTTACTAGCATCCTGGCAATTCTCAATTTACTACTACAAAAAGGCATCAAGAGCCAAAGATTTTAGTAATACAACAAACTATTGTATTCTTACTTTTCTGCCAATTCTTCAATGAAGACTGTAACGGAATTATTCTCATTTCCAACTTCTTGAATATGAGCATTATAATATCTTCCACCTGATTCCAAGCGAACCTGAAAGAGAATAGGAGACAGTAAACATACATCTAATCTCAAGTCTTTTGCCAGATCTGGCTTCTGACAAACAAAAATACAACTCCTCTCCCAGAGTACAGTGTCTACTTATCAAAGCAGTTGCTAATAAACACTGCCAGCCAGTCTGGCTCAACAGATGTGGCACATGATAAAAAAGATCCTTACATCATCTCACAGAAGCTTGTAATTAAAATTTAATACAACCATTAAAAATTTTTTTCTAGCATTTTGTAAATGACCTTTGTTGAACTAAAACTGTAACCTTGGAAAAACTAATTTTTTAATGCTTATTTATTTAGAGAGAGTGAGTGAGCAGGAGCAGGGGGAGGGAAGAGAAGGAGAGAGAGAATCCCAACCAGGTTCTGTGCTGTCAGTGCAGAGGACGACGTGAACCTCCATCTCATGAACCATGAGATCATGACTTGAGCTGAAATCAAGACCTGAACACTTAACCAACTGAGCCACCCAGGCGCCCCCAAATTACTGAGTTTTTAAAGGACGAACTAACCTGACACTTGTCTCCCAAATAGTACTGTCTCCCAGCATACTCCATGTAATCAGTTTTTTGAAGTTCTATTAAAAGAAAATGAAGATTCAAGCTCAACTGAACTGGTTCCTTTCCCGTTTTACACCATTTAATTTTCTACTTTACATTTACCAGTGTTTTTGACAATACTACTACTATAAGCTGAAACCTGGGGGCAGGACTGGTGGGGGAAGAGTCCTAAAGGGTCATTCCATTATTCTTGACAGGTTATTTCTGTGGTTAATTTAAGGAGACCTGCCAAAATAGTTTGGTGCTATAAAACACAGGTGGAAATTGGGAGGCTGTAATCTTAGTTATACCAATGGAAACAACTTGATAGTAACACACCTCAATGAAAAACAAACAAACACTACCTAGTTTCTTTAAAGCATCTTATTATTTTTAACAACTTATTGTGTCTTCACCTCATTCTAGATCGTTAGACTGCTAATTATACCTAGGTTCACCAAGGTTCAAGACGTTGAATATGAAACATTAAAAGGCTACCTTGAAGGCAGAACTTTAAGGGCAAATTTGAATAACTTAGTTCTCTTATAGGGAGTCATAAACAATTACCTATTTCAACAGTTGGCAAACTTTCTCTGTAAAGAGTAAGTATTTCAAACTTTGTGGGTCATACAGACCCTGTCACAACCACTCAATTCTGTCATAAAACTACTTATAGACAATTGAACTTCATATAATTTTCATGTGTCAAAATACACTGTTCTTTTACAATTTTTTCTGCCATTTAAAAATATAAAGACCATTCTTAGCTCACAGACCACACAAGAACAGGTGGCAGGGAAGATTTGTTCTAAAGGCCAGTTTGTGGACACCTGACCTATTCATTTAGTGAGTAGTTTTAACACTTTAAGATAAGCTTATTTACAGTTACATATTTTGGGTACTCAAAGTTATCTAAAGGGTATCTCCACAGTCTTTGCAAAACTAAAAGTCCCAGATAAACATTGTATTCTAAAAGATCCTTCCCCACTTCTATGTTTCCTCTTCTCGATTTAAAATCATGTATTAAGTAAGCTAAAAAGTAGGAGGCTGTCCTTTATAACAGTACGTTAAAAACATCTCATTAGAAATAATTTGCAAATTTTTTCCCCTGGAGGTCAGGATTCAAAAGCATGCTGTCAATATTTCATTACCTTTTCTGCTGTCCAACCAAACATCAAATTCTACATTACGATAGATTTCTGGATCCAAGGCTTTAAGCACCTTATACGGGAAGAGCATCTTTGATGGACTCTCTGGAGACTAAAACAAAAATAATCATGCTACAAAATCATCATCCTTAGCTTCAAAGTTCCTTCTATGGAGAAAGAAAGTTGTTTTTTTTTTTAACTATGTACATATGCCTCCCTTTCCTTCTTTATTAAATAAAGAATTAAATGCCACAGTAAGTTTTGTTGCGTATTTTAAAAATCAGGAGATTAAAGAAGCAATATGCAAATAATCTAAAAGGTTTTAGATGGCAGAAGGGAAATATTGAAAGCAGCCAACAATTTAGGATATATCTCACATAAATCAATGCAACACAAAGATTAAAGATTCAGTCAGGCTATTCAATAAATCTCATATTGATATACACAGAGAGGTGCAAGTGTTCTTGTACCCTAAAATCACCTGAAAATTCTATTTCATTTTGGTAAAAATCTGTTGCAACTTTCAAAGGAATTTCCTTTTTCTTCTGCTTTCCTAGAATTTCACCATATCCAATAGTTACTGTTCCCAAATTCCCAGAACTTGGGGCATAAATAAACATTATTTTAATAGTATTTGCCCTATTGAGCTAGCCTCAAACTAAAGGTCTGCTTGATTTTAGGACTACAAAGACGGTAAAAATTTCTCCTGTTTCTTCAAGCAGGATTATTACCTATTTCCTTTGAACAGAATAGGGCAAGCATCACATACTTTAATGACAGAGAAAAACCTTAGCATCCATAAGATTCATCACAAAGTATCTATTACTGGATTTGTAACATTTAATTTGAAAACAACAGCTTCTGAAAATTCTAAAGTGTTCAGAGATTGCTTTGAAAACAATCTATACAATTCCATTAAGAATACTCAGACAACATTAAGCACCCATTTTACATTTTAAGATTAAAACTTCCACAAAGGAAAACACGAACTCCTCCCCCACCGCATATAACTAGAATGGACTGCTTGACCTTAACTTAAGGCCTTTTAAGTTATGATGCTACAAGCCAAGATTATGAGAATTCTTTGCCTAGAAAATTTCAAACCTTTGCTTCTTCTGTTCCTTGATTGCACCCCTCTGGTGTATTTTCAACATTGCAGCAGGCACCCAACTCTTCACTCCTAATTGAAAAGATTTAGAACAAAGAGCTTTATATAAAGGCAGTAGCTGAGTTTTAAGTCTAATGACTATACCACCACCTAGTGGTAAACTAGCTCAAGGTCTAAAAATGAGGCAAATAGTTTTTCACCCCAACATTTACATTCATGCTTCCTTTTTATTAGGATGTACTACAACATACTTAAGCAGACTATCTCCTATATTTCATACCTCCATCTCTTAAGATGGTCCCTATGATCTTTGCCTCCTGGTGTTCACATCCATGTAGGATTCCCCTACCTCAAGTTTGCTTCTTAATAGATAAGATGTATATTATTATTTTGCATAAGAACGTAGTGCCTGTATTGCTGGTCCCTTGCTGACTATAAGGAAGCAAGCAGTCATGTTCACCAACCACATGTGACAAATAGGTGAGGGTTCCCTTAGGCTGACAGCCAGCAAAACAACAACAACAACAACAAAAAAAAAACACATTTCTCAGTCCTACAGCTTCAAGAACTAAATGCTGCCAAGAACCATGTGAGTGTCAAAGTGGATCCTTCGTCGGTCAAAACTCCAGGTAAGAACTCAATCCTGGCCAACAACCTCATTGCAGTCTTGTGAGACCCGAAGCAGAAGACCCAGCTAAGCTGTGCCCAGATTCCTAGTCCACATAAACTGTGAAATAAGTGTGTTAAATTGCAAACTCTGTAGTAATACTGTCATGAAGCAATAGGTAACTAGTACATCTTGCTTTTTTTTACTACTATAATTGCCCAAAGCCGGACATCCTTAGGACAAATCATCAGTGAAGAATGAAGCAACTTTTACCCTGATGCATGAGTGCCACTCCCTGCATTCACAAGTAAGTTTAAAAACCTCTCTTCTAGGGGCGCCTGGGTGGCGCAGTCGGTTAAGCGTTCCGACTTCAGCCAGGTCACAATCTCACGGTCCGTGAGTTCGAGCCCCGCGTCGGGCTCTGGGCTGATGGCTCGGAGCCTGGAGCCTGTTTCCGATTCGGTGTCTCCCTCTCTCTCTGCCCCTCCCCCGTTCATGCTCTGTCTCTCTCTGTCCCAAAAATAAATAAACGTTGAAAAAAAAAATTTAAAAAAAAAAAAAACCTCTCTTCTACAAAAAAAAATTGCAATCAAGACAAAAAGACAAGGTTGACACCTGACTGGCACCAAGCCTATATGAATTTCCTTCACATAAGTAGGAATCAAGAAGAAATAGAAGACAACACCTACTTTATTATCTCTGACACACCAGCTGTTTCCTCAGAGGCCACAATCTATATTTCCAGCAAGTACCAAAGGCAGACACTCAAAGGCTCTTAAAACTCCCCTTAGTCTGAGAAATTCTTTTCTACTAGCTGGATGTGTGCTACTTCAAGTAACCACTGTGAATCTCAGTTACCAACTAACAAAATGATAGTGCTGGTTTACAATCAGCTTTTTCTCATAATATGGTCCACAGCTTACCTACATCAGAATATTTGGAATATACTTGTTAAAAAAAAGAAGATTCCTGGCCCCACTCTCACCTCAAATTTTGTGAAACTAGGCCCAAGAATCTGCCTTCCTAACAAGCACCATTTGAGAACCATGGGGTTACATAGTTCTAAAGTCACTTCTAGCAATTAAAAAAAAAAAAAAAAAAAAGATTCTGACTTGGATCAAACCTCCGAAGCCTCAACATCTTAAAATACAACATATCTTTTTGGTAAAATTTCTCTTCCCCCAATAGAAAATGGATCTCCACATACATATGTGTGGGTATGTCAAGCCCCTTCCACTTTCAAATGATGATGTTGATCTTGAGGTTGACACCCCTTTTCCCTTTATTACCTATTACAAGCTGAACTCTTGTAGTCAACATGGACATCCTCGCTGCCAGTCAGAGCATGGTTTCTGTTCTTTTTGGAACCACTTCGAAACAATTCAACTGCAGTCTTCAACTCTTCTTCATCCACAAAAAACACATCTTTATAGAGAATTTCATACAGTACAGCTAAGGGAAAAAAAGCCAAAACTCCAACTGTCAAAGTAAGATCTCTTTATGACAATGTGAAAACAGCCATAAGCCAGTATACAATTTCAATAGGTGCCAACAAAACAGCTTAGAAGAGTTACTTACGGTGGGTCCCTCAATTTAAAGATGGGAAAACAAAATCATCTGAAACACACCTAAGCATTTGTAAAGCTTTCACATACCCTGGCAAACAGCTGCACTTGACTGAAATTGTTTTGAGTACACTGAATCATAATGGCCATTACTTGAATAGCAGAGTAGAATCTGAAGAAAAACATACAGAACAATTAAGTGAATGTTACATATCTTACAACCATGAACTACTTGAAATTAAATTGCTAACCAGAAATTGAGAATGAATTTGTCTTTTAAAATGATTTTTTTTTTAGATCCTTGTCTCTGACTCATTTCACTTAACACGCCAATTATATCTCAATAAAGCTAAGGAAAAGTGATTTTTGAAATCTGAATAAAGATAAATGCTAGCTATAACTTTCAAAAGAGATGTTCTCAAAAGTGACTTTTAGGGGCGCCTGGGTGGCGCAGTTGGTTAAGCGTCTGACTTCAGCCAGGTCACGATCTCGCGGTCCGTGAGTTCGAGCCCCCCGTCAGGCTCTGGGCTGATGGCTCGGAGCCTGGAGCCTGTTTCCAATTCTGTGTCTCCCTCTCTCTCTGCCCCTCCCCCGTTCATGCTCTGTCTCTCTCTGTCCCAAAAATAAATAAACGTTGAAAAAAAAAATTAAAAAAAAAAAGTGACTTTTAAATGCCAAGATTAAAATCACTAATAAGGTTACACTGAATCTAAATCACATTCCCATTAATGTAGCCAACAAGTTGATTTGTGAATTTGCAAAAATATAGAACTTTTACAAATTGAGTAAATCTAGTAGAAATCCTAACAGAAGTCAAGAGACCCAGCTTAACTTTGAAAAAGGACTGCAGAAATTATGTAAAATATCCAAATACTCCAAACTAAGATCATGAGGGCAGGGGGAGACTTAATTTACTCAAAAGGTTATCCATTCTACCGAGTAGTAATATATGAATACATTATACAGGAACAATACTGCTAAAGAGACTTTCTTAATGAATTAAGGCACTGAGATAGCTACAAAAGGAGTTAATTTCTTAGCTGATCTTTAGTCTCTAGTTTTCCCAAACAATTCAAAGCCATGCTTACTAACCAAAATATTTTAGTAAAAATGCTTGCAGGCTCTGTATGATGAAAACTGTCTGAATTAACAGCTCCAAAACCTTTTTAAATTTTGGTTCAAAAATCTGTCTTGAGTAAGGGATGTATCTAACCATAAGTCTATTTTATTTCTTTTATTTGAGAGACAAAGAGTGTGAGCGGGGGGTGGGGGGGAACAGGAGGAGAGAGAGAATGAATCTTAAGCAGGCTCCAGGCTCAGCACGGAGCCTGACATGGGGCTTGATCCCACAACCCTGGGATCATGACCCTGAGCCAAAATCAAGAGTTGGACACTCAAATGACTAGAGCCACCCGGGCACCCCAAGTCTATCTGATTCTGAAGCCACGTCTCGTATTAGCAACCTGAGGGACCAAAGAGGATTCTCTTGTGTTCTATGGGAGGATGTTGCCACTGAGTTTCTTTGGCAGAAAATTCCAAGTCCCCTGTTTGCTGCCTTCCTGCCTAATCTGGGCTAACTTCTTCCAATAATAAAGTTCTCTACTTCAGGTCTGTTATTCTTCCCTAGCCTTTTTTTGAAATCACAATTCCAACTCCACCAGTATAAACCATTTCAGAGTATTGAGGGCAAGTGTCAAGCTAAAGTAACTCACGGTAAAGTTTAAGTTATGAAGTTTCACACCACTCTGAGCACTCTGAGGGGTTATTTCCATTTAAGAGTTTATTAATCCAAAAGAAAGTGAACAGATTTTGAGCAGAGAAGCCCTGTGTAATTTGGACTAGAAGAACTTGGAACTCCAACTAACAAAGGTCAATAACTGGAGGCAGTTGTTAAGGAGTAAAGGAATCCGGCTAACCAGAACTAAATAAATAAGCAAGAAAAAACTCCAGAGGTAACAGTATAGTTTCTTTATTCGTGTGGCAAGAAGTTCCATTTTGATTGGAAGAGGTGTCCCTGGTGGTATTGGTATCCCAACATAAAATAATAGTTCTGATACATACTTGTGGGTAGGCAAGTATGATATAATGGCATTAAACTAGTAAAAAAAAAAAATGAGGTAGATCTAGATTACTGATGAGGATAGGTGAAAACAAGTAATAATATGTTTAATATGAGCCCATCTACATTAAAAACATTATATAAATGGTGCCTGGGCGGCTCCGTGAAGCATCCGACTGGCTCAGATCATGATCCCCTGGTTCCTGAGTTCAAGCCCCACATTGGGCTCTGTGCAAAAAGCTCGGAACCTGGAGCCTACTTCGGATTCTGTGTCTCCCTCTCTCACTGCCCTTGCCCTGTTGGCACAGTCCCTGTCTCTCTCTCAAATAAGCAAACATTAAGAAGTTTTAAATAATGTTGTCTGAAATATATTCCATGGTGTGACACAAGCCTTAAAAAGTCAATTACTAACTAATCAAATAATTGGGATAAAAGGTTTTTTCCTTAAAAACTTTTTGGGTGGCTCAGTTAAGCATCTAACTCTTGGTTTCAGCTCAGGTCATGATCTCAGCTTTGTGGGATCCAGTGCCCTGTGGGGCTCCACCCTGAGGGCAAAGCTGGCATAAGATTCTCTCTCTGCCCCTTCATCCCCCCCTCACTCTCTCAAATAGATGAACAAAAACAAAAATAACCCAGATTTTTTGGAAGAAACACTGTATACTGAAAAACAATCTGTTTAACGACTAAGAGTTCTCAACCAACAAAACCGCTTCCTACTATTTTCCAAGCATCTTACTGGGCAGTAGTAGCATACTGGCCTGCTCTCAAGAAACTGAAGATTTAGGAGAGAAATAAGCATGAAAACAAATACAATGTGATTAGAATTACTTGGGTGATGCTAGAGGAAGGAACACAAAGGGAGGAAAGAACTCCAGGGGAGTTGGGAGTTTCAAAGGAGTTAACATCAGAGATACAAAGGAAAAGAAAAAAAGTGTAAGTCGGAGTATCTGGAATCAAAATATACTAAGGTTGTAAGACAGTGAAGATGAAAAGGGGACTAAATGCCTAGTTTCCAGGTTTGAACCTTATCTCCTAGCCAACAAGGAGCCAATTGAGGTTTGGTTTTTTTGGGTGTTTTTTTTTTTTTTAACCTATTACAGGACTGGTAAGGTAAGGTCTGTTCAGGAGGGTGGCTAACAACACTCAGGATGACTAAATGGAGAGGTAAAGGCTGGTGGTGGAGAAGCTTGGCATTTAGACTATGCTTCCCCCCCTCCCATTAATTAGGTAACAAAGAATGATTTCTTATTATCTTGTTAAGCCAGCAGCATCATTCAATTTCTTTTATTTTAGTAAACATTCACTCATCTTCTTACCTTGTCTTCATAGCCATTATCTGTGACACAAGTTGGAGGCTTTCCGGGACAGCGATAAAGAATGAAATCCCGACTACACGGGTAGAAAACAAAGGTGGTTGAAAAGAGATAATTTAATATATCCAAGAAGATAGTTTATAAGAACAAGTATCTGGGCTTTCACACTGCCCACCTTATTCATATAAAATAATCTGAATGTTTAAAGAGGCTAAATAATGTTAATTCAAAGTAGATAGCCAACTTCTCTAAAGTCCTATGGATTTCTTAAACATATCTTAATTTGGGAAAAGGAGAAGTAAAGAAGATAGGTTCCCAACTGTATGTGTTTCTGAATTTTGGGGGCTCCGCACTTATTTAAAGCATAGGCTGGCAAATTTTACTTGGTAAAAGACCAGATGATAAGCATTTCAGCTTTTGCAGGCCGTATGGTTTGCTCAACTTTGACTTTGTAGCATGAAAGCAGTCAGACCCTGATAAACAAGCACAAATGACTGTGTTCCAATAAAACTTAATTTACAGACACTGAAATCTGAACTTCATAGAATTTTCACATGCCATGTAACAGTACTCTACTTTTCATTTAACCATTTATAAACTTTGAAGAAAGCATTCTTAGCTCGAGGGCTATACATAAAAAGCAAGAAAGCCAATTTAAAAGCTGGCCCTTGGGGCGCCTGGGTGGCGCAGTCGGTTAAGCGTCCGACTTCAGCCAGGTCACGATCTCGCGCTCCGTGAGTTCGAGCCCCGCGTCAGGCTCTGGGCTGATGGCTCGGAGCCTGGAGCCTGTTTCCGATTCTGTGTCTCCCTCTCTCTCTGCCCCTCCCCCATTCATGCTCTGTCTCTCTCTGTCCCAAAAATAAATAAACGTTAAAAAAAAAAAAAAGCTGGCCCTTGACTTAAAAGCAACAACTGATTAGTCACCTGCCCAATGCCTCTTCTATACAACTTCTTGATGGATTTAGTGAGAAATGAGCAGACTGCAAAACACTAACTTGAATGAGTACCCATAACCAGAAGATTCAGACTATACCAAGGTATATGCCATCTCACCATCCTAAAAACTGTGAAGGAAATCTTATGTACAGATCAACTTCCTCAAATGAACAAGATTTCCACTAGCCTCTATCCTACATTAGAGAAGTATTTTTCAATAGTTCTGTGCAACCCCACAGCTTCCAGAAATGCCACTTTTGCTATTTTGGGGACCAAAGTGATAGAGCAGTGTTTCTCAAAATGTTCATTATCATGTGCCTAAAGAGCCTTTTTATTTTTAATTTTCCTATGAAATTTTAATACCAGAGATATACCATATATCTGCTTATGTACTGTAACCCTCTGAAGGACTACAAACCACTATAGTATCTAACATCTTTTTGTCTTCAAGAACCAATTTCTACCCTCTTGGAAGCTATATTGCCCCACTAAAGATGCATTGAAGGGGCACAAAGTTAAACAGACAAGAATTCTAAGATAGACATTCTGATTTTCTACAGGAATACCAGCATTCCTTAAAGTCCTTTATTTCATTCAAATGGACACAAACTCTAGAGGCTCTCCACCCAAAAGTTAACACAAATTAACTTTACTTAGACATCTTCATTCTACAGATCATTCCCAAATCCCAAAGAGCCTTTAATAGAAACTTTACACACAATGACACATATGCACTCAGTCTTTAAAAAAAGATTTAACTTACTTATAAATTAGAGAAAGAGCTCTTATTTCCAGCTGGCCAGCACTTTCCTAAACATAAATAGTACATAAACTTTTAAAAAACATTCTGTAGCTATCAGGTAAAAGTTTTGCAAGTTCAACAAGTTATTTTGGATGCTTAGAGACGTTTTAAATGAAGAATTTGTAGAACACACTATAACTTGTTTTAAGATATTGTGTTACTCATTTACATAAACTTATTCTGAAACTAATAGTCCTAAAGACCTTCTCAGTTAACTATGAAGTAACAAGGACAGTTAATAGGAGAGATTTAAAAGGCACAATAAAAATGGAATTAGTGTTAAGATTATGAAGTTAGCAAGGTATTTAGTAAATGCTAAGTCCAGAACTATGGAATTAATCACATAAATTATTTTTAATTAAATATGTGTTTATGAAGCTTACTCCCACATAAAGGATAACTACAAATCAGGGGAAGTGTTGAATAAAAAATGTAACAAATGACCTCTTGTAACATTCATTGCCATCCCTCCTCCCCCATTAAAATGAAAGGACTTAGGCTTGTCCTGTTTGCAGTCTATGGATGATAAAATTGTTGACATAGAATTCTCAACATTCAACACAAAATAGGTCAATTGCCAGCTTCGAAACTTTTGCAAGAACTATTTGATTCAACACAGCTGGCTACTTAAGAAAATAGGTTGCGTCTAACTAAAGCTAAGGCGACACAGCTGAATGAATACTTCGGTTTACTATTCCAAATACTCTGAAAAGATTAAACCCCCGTATTTGATCTTACCTTGGGATCTCCCAACCGTTCCAGGTATTTCTCAAAAGATCCCTCCACATACTTCAAAAATAAAACAAACTTGACTTAACCAAATACATAGCATTACTAAAATCTGATTATATTCTGCAATATTACCCTCCAATGGGTGTTTGTTCAGCTCAACAATTATGGTATTCAAGGACTATTTTGCACAGCACCTCAAGAAGATTTGCACATACACAAAAGTTATGAGTGGAGAAAAGCTGGACTTTAAAACTGTCCTAGGAATTGGTCCTAGCTTATCCACATACCAGTGCATTTCATCAAATGTTAATGCTTTTGAGTTTCTTTTGAAATGCCAATTTAAGTAACTTGACAATTTTCATAAATCATGCAAACCCAATAATCACAAGGACTTTAAATTTTGACAGGAGACATGCATTTACAAAGTTAAACTGAGGAACTTAAAGGGAATTTCATTAGATTCAGAAAAGCCTAGGGCACAAGGGAACTTCTTGGGGTAATAGAAATGTTCCATATCTTGACTGCAATGGCAGTTGCAGGACTATGTATTATTGCCCAAACTGAAAATGCCAAACTTAAAATGGTAAATGTTATTTGTGTGTAAAATACACCTCAATAAAAGTAAGTCAACTCGGGGAATAGAATATATGTCTAGTTTCATGTATATATTATCACTGGACTTGAAGATCAAGTTTCAATTTTGCTCAATCCCTTTTTAAACAGCTTGCGGTGTAACTGACAGACAACAAACTGCACATATTTAAATGGCACAAATACATTTTGACACATGTATGCACCCACGAAACCATCATGACGATTCTGATAGTGAATATATCCATCACGCCCACAAGTTTCCTTGTGTCCCTCTGTAACTCACACCAACCTCCAACCACTGATCTGCTTTCTATCACTACAGACTGGTTTGCATTTTCTTAAGTTTTATATAAAGAAAATCATATTCTGTATGCACTTTCTCCTGGCATGATTATTCTGAGATTTATCCATGTAAGTTTTAAAATTTTACACAAGTCTTTGTTACTCAAAACATGGTTACTATTACTGTATCAGGAACAAGAGCAAGCATCACTTGGGAGTTTTGTTAACAATGCAGAAATCTTGGGCCCCAGCTCAGACCTACTGAATCAGAATCTGCACTTTAACAAGATCCCCAGGTGATTTGTATGCACAAAAATACTTGAGATGCACTGTTTTACACCATGGTCTTGCATTTGAAGTAATTCATGAATAATCTTTTCCCCAGGTGTTGTAAAGACTGTAATTAACTTTAACCTAGGTAATAAGCTTTAAAGTCAAGAAGGCTTGACAGTTTTAAGATTCACTGAAACCTGTTGAGAAAATTAAGAGTAAACCTCGAACAGCAGGCTAATGCCCATAATATACATAATATACAGTGAGAAGAAAACAAACAGTACTGTAAGGGCTGACAAAAATTTTTTAAAGCCTCACAAGAGGGCACACTTCAAACCAGACCTTGATAAAACCTCATTCCATTAATAAGAATTCAAATACTTCAAAGTATGCAAAATGTCTTCTAAAAGTTGTTTTAAAGCCAATTGTTAGTGGCAGAGTACCTATTACCAGTTTGTCACATGAAAAGGTGAATGTTTAGAACTAATTTGTTTCCTTACAATTAGGTTTTGTAAGACTATTCATATTGGCTCAAGAGCATTGTGCACAGAATTAAGAGAACAGAGGGGTTTTCCCATTTGTACATATTTGAAAGTATACATTAAAATATCAACATAGCCAAACTCTTTGTGAACTATGATTACTTGTTTGAGGAACAGTGGTATGGATGTAGTATACAGGACACTAGTCAAAATGTAACGTTTTAGGGTTTGGGAGGTTTGGGGAGGTCTATGGGAGCAGAAAGTAGTGGGAAGGATGCAGACGAACTGTCTTAATTCTCAATTAGAGTACAAAACAGTCTAATTCTGGAGGTCTAGAGGTATGCTAAAGGGAAGGCAGCTGAAAATTAAGTATTTGCTATTGAGAGGAAATTGCATGACATAATTTTCATGATGTACACAGCTCAAAATTCATTTCCCATTTACTACACACTCTACCAACATCTCTACCTTGCTTATGTGTTCTACTTACAGACTCAAAAGTTTGTTGATTTTCTCTCATATAGGAGACACAAGCCTTCCTGATTTCCAAATGATGGACCTGGCTGCAAAACAACTAAAAAGAGAAAGACCAGCTCACTCTCAAGTCATTTGAAATAGCTATCAAATTAAAATGATGAACTGGACACTTAAGTCCACCTTATTCAAAACATATGTAGGACATGGGAAAATTAGGTCCTGACCTTACTAAAATGTTTTTGCCACCCTTAATGAGATTGGGGAGAGAGGGTTTGGTCTTACCACCCCCACCCCTTTTCTACTCATGGGCACAGCCTATGAGGTTTCCTTGGGCATAAAATTTAGAGAAAGTAGGGCTGCTTATAAAGGATCAAGATTCATTTCAAAGTTTCTGTAATCCCATCCTTATTTCTCTTACATTCCAAACTGGCATTTAGAAAACAGAAAAGACAGCAAAGGCACAGCAATATATTTGGACTGATCAGCAAAGGCCTACACCAAGCTAGTAAGTGCCAGGTAGACCCGGAAGTTTTTACTAGGAAGAGAAAGGGGATTTTTTTTTTTGGTGGGCTACAGGTCTTCTAGCTACAGTACCGTGCCATGTTTCAAACCCTGAAAACTCAGTATAGGGAAGATACATATTTTCCTTTTACCTGCTCCGAAATAGCCCGAAAGAGGCAAGAGGCATCCTTGGCAGTCAGCTTTCGAAACAGCCCTAAGCTGCCTAAATATTCATCCATTGATGTCTCATTCAGAGACTTCTGGCCGCAGTACTTTTTCCATCCTTTATGCATTTTGCCAGGGGTGGGGGTGAGGATGGGGAGAAAGGAACACAAATGCGGCAAGAAGGAAAAAGCAAGGTGCAGGTAGGAATGGGTAGCAGTGACAAGGGCTTGCTTATGCAGGTATCCGGAAAGCAGCCCAGAGTCTAGGGATGAGAAGGCAGTTGTCAGCGCTGTAGAATCCTGGCACTTCTCAGGAGCAGGAGAAGCAAAGGGCTGGCTCGCCCGGTACAAGTCGGGACCCTGTGAAAAGAAGAGGAAGAGCCGATGCTCCTAGGAATAGAGAACTGGACTTGAGAAGACATGGGAGAAGGCACCTGCGGAGCTACCTTGTTGGGGAAGGATGGGATTTACGCAACGAGCCCAAGGTTGAGAGAAGGATGCACAAGCAGCTGAGCTTTGGGACCAAAAGGAAGTCGAGTCTGCAGCTTAACTCAGGGCAACTGCGGCACGAGGCTGCAAAGGGACTGCAACAAGGCTCAGGTGTGTACGATGCAGCCTGGCCCACATTATATCGCTTTAAGGTCTCTAGCCCAAGTTCCCTGCTCCGCTCATAATTTCATGGAGATGAGAGAAAAATATTCTAAACCTAAATAACTAGTAAGCTTCTGTATTAAGAACACCTTTAAAGACTACATAGGCTGGTGGGGGGGGGGGGCAAGGGTCTCCCTTGATCTATAGGGGCAGAAATCACAGTTCAAGCAAGTAAAATGCCAAAGCAGATTTCTGGATACTTCCGGTATGGGAGTTAAGTAATTTTCTCATTTGGTTCTCCTATATAATAATAACCCTCTGCTAGGATCACAGAAACTAAATCCATTAGCTATGCTAGGAAACACTGATACAATTCTTGACTAATGTCCTCAAATTATTGTAGAGCATTAACAAAAAGAGACGATGCAAAAATTGTTTCTTAAAAAATGAAAACAATGGAAGTTTAAATTAAACAGCATGAAAGGAATGTCTTACCAACATTTCAGTGTATTAGAGCACTTTTCTGGGAAAACTACTCTAGAGTCTAAGAAAACCAATGTAAACAGGACCGTATTTGTGAGGTTCAAAAACAGAACTGATCACTTGCATTACTTGATTCCACTGTCAAGTGTCTCCTTTTTATTAAATGCCAAAATCAAATTCCTTAATTAAGCTGCTTTGAAAATTGTTTTTCTTATATCTGTGGATCCAGTAGTAATCATGACCACCGTGCCTATAGGAAAAGCATCAATAATCAATCTTCTAATTTAAGAATGAAATAAAAGCATGGTTAAAAAACAAGTAAAATCCTGACTTCTTTTAGCATATCAATTTGAATTACCTTAATTTCTTTTTTAAAGAAACAGTAACACTAGGGAAATTATGCCTTTTGAAAAACCATGAAACATGGTTTGGACAGAGGGATCACCATCTTTTTCTAAGGCCACAAATTCATTGAGAAAAATTAAGAGTTATAAATGAAAAAGTTAACTCATTTTGGGAAGTTTTTACCTGTAGAAAAGAATACAAATTCTTCACATTTATCGCTACTTACACTAAAAATAAATACATAAAACTTCAATTAGTGCAAATCCACATACTTCATTTTGAAGAAGGAAATCAAAGGGAAAACTGGGAGAAGAAAAAGAGAACCAGAAAAGCAATAGAAGAGCAGGAAATAAAATAAAAATTAGAGACAAGGAAACAAAAAGAAACAGAGGAAGAAAACAGAAGGTGGATACAGAAATAGAAAAAAAGAGAGGAACATACAGAGAGGGCACACAGAAAAGACCCACACAAATATGGTTAACGGATTTTTGACAAAGGTACAAGAGCAGTTCAACAGAGAAAAAGACACTATTTTCAAATGGTGCTGCACAATCCCATCCATATATAAAATAGAAAAAAATGGTCTTTATACCTCATCTTTATACAATTAATCTTCTATAACTTAATTATAATTAAAATGGACCAAAGGCCTAAATGTAGAACAAAATTTCAAAACTTTCAGAAGAAAGCATAAGGGAAAATCTTCAAGACCTTGAGTTAGGCAATGAATTCTTAGATATAATAAAAATTGGACTTTATCAATATTAAAAACTTGTGCTCTACAAAGGACACTGTTAGGAAAATGAAAATGGCAAGCCATAGACTGGAAGAAAGTTTTATCAGTATATATCACACGTCTGACTAAAAAGCTTTGTATCAAAAATATAAAAAAAATTCTCAAGTCAACAATAGGAAAACGATGATACAACTAAAAAATGCCCAAATGATTTGGGGTGCCTGAGTGGCTCAGTCGGTTAAGTGTCCAACTTGGGCTCAGGCCATGATCTTGATGTCTGTGGGTTCAAACCCCGTGTCAGGCCTTGTGCTGACAGCTCAGAGCCTGTAGCATGCTTTGGATTCTGTGTCTCCCTCTCTCTGTCCCTCCCTGTCCACGCTCTGTCTCTCAAAATATATGTTGAAAAAATTTTTTAAAAAAACGCCCAAGTAATTTGACTACACATTTTACCAAAGATATAGGAATGGCTACTAAGCTAAAAAGATGCTCAACATCATTCGTCATTAGGAGAACACAAATTAAAACCATTAAGAGGTATCAATTCACACCTACGAGAATGGCTATAATAAATACACAGACCAAGTATCAGCAAGGATGTGGAGAAACTGAAACCTAAGTGAAAGAAGCTAGATGCAAAAGGGGGTTGATTCGAAAAGAGATAGGATTATACTTATATGAAATATACCAAACAAGCACATCTACAGAAGGCAGATCAGGGCTGCCTGTGGTTGGGATATGAATAGGTATTGACTGCAAACAAGCACAAAGGATCTTTTTTGATGTGATAAAAAAATGTTCCAAATCTGTTTCTGCACATTCCTGTATATTCACTAAAAATTAGTGAATTGTACACTTAAAACTGATCATTTTAACAGCTTTTTAGTTTACATACCCTGTAATTCAAAGTATAATTTCAATAATTTTTAGTACATTGAGAGTTGTGCATCCATCGGCACCATTTTAGAACATTCTCATTACACCCAAATGTAACCACATCCCGTACCAACCAACTGCTAACCCCCTATGCCCACAAACTCCAGGTAACCACCAATCCACTTTCTGTCTCTCTATATTTACCTATTCTAGACATTTTACGTAAATGGGATCATACAATATATGGTCCTGTGTAACTGGCTTCTTTCACTTAGGTTTTAAAGGTTCACCCATGGGCAGCTCTTTCTGCCCATGGATCCTGTCCCCATGCTTTAATAAAACCTTTTATGCACCAAAAAAAATAAATAAAAGGTTCACCCATGTTGTAGCATGTATCAGTATTTCAATCCTATAGTTAAACTATACTGTATTTTATTTATCCATTCATCCATTAGAACTAATGTGGGTTGTTCCCACTCTAGCTTTTTATGACTAATGCTGTCAAACATTCATGTGCAAGTTTTTGTTTGGACATGTTTCTATCCTCTTGGGTAACACCTAGGAATGGAGTTGCTTGCTGGATCAATGTTTACCGTTTGAACAACTGTCAGGCTGTCCTCCACAGCAACTGCACCATTTTACGTTCTCATGGTGTATGAGGGCTCCCATTTTTCCACAACCTATCCATAATTACAGTCCATCTCTTTACTATAGCCATCCTAGTGGGTGTCAGTGGTACCTCATTGTGGTTCTATTTTCCATTTCCCGGATGGCTAACAATGCTGAAAATCTTTCATGTGCCTCTTGGCCATTTGTAGATCTTTAAATGAGATACCATCACATACATCTTAAAATGACTAAAATTTTTTAAAAACTGACAATACCAAGTGTTGACAAGGATGCAGAGCAACTGGAACTCTCATATGTTGCTGGTGTGATATAAAATAGTACAACCACTCTAAAAACTGGTTTAGCAGTTTCTAGAAGGTTAAACAGAGTTGCTACATGACCCAACAATTCCACTTCTAGTTATCTACCCAAGAGAAATGAAAACTTCAGCTCACAAAAAACCTGTATATAAATGTTTATAGCAGCTTTATTCATAATCATGATTCCCCCCAAACTGGAAACAATCCAAATATCCTTCAATTGGTAAATGGGCAAACTAGCACATCCATACAACAGACTACTTCTCAGTATTAAATGCATACTAAAAGAATGCATTGATGACATAATGGAAAAGACCAAACTACTGAAAGGGAAACCAGATCAGTTGCTGGCAATAGTTACGGCTATAGGAAAAGGCTGACTACAAAGGGATGGCAGAAAGGGATAAATGGGGATGATGTAAGTTTTCTATACCTTTTTAAAATTTTTTAATGTTTACTCTTTTTTCAGAGAGAGAGAGAGAGAGAGCGAGCTAGAGCAGGGAAGGGGCAGAGAGAGACGGGGACAGAGGATCTGAAATAGGCTCTGTGCTGACAGTAGACAGGCCGAGGCAGGGCTCAAACTCAACAAACCGTGGGATCATGACCTGAGCCAACCCAAGCGCCCTAGTATTCTGGATCTTGAGTGTGGTAGTGGTTACACAATTGCACATTTGTCAAAATTTATACAACTATACAAGAAAAATGCTAATTTTGCTGTATTTCAACTGAAAAATAAAAACCAGAAAAACAGAATTAAGTTGAGGAGCTCACAGAATGGACAAGAATGAAGACAAAAACCAAGAAAATTAGAGGGTCACTATAGGATGGCCAACATCTAACCAAAAGGAGGCCCCCCCCAAAAGATAAAAAGTATAAGGGGAAGAAATGATGGTGATGATGATAATGATGAAAGGAGAATTGTAGCACTGCAGGATAGGAGTACCTGTATTTAGAATGAAAGGGTCCATGAAGTAGCTCGAACAATAAAAGCAAAAAAGATGATCAGCAATGCACAGGACATTTCTGAAGTCAGGGGATAAAGAGGAAAAACAGGTCACATACAAATGATCACACATAGGAGTAGCAATAAACTTCTCAATAGAATAACTATAAGCTAGAAAACAATGAGGTTCAGTATGTGAGGGAAAATTATTTCCAACCTTGAACTCTATACCAAGCTATCAATCAGATGGGAGAGTAGAAGCATTTTCAAACATGAAAGATTAAAACAATTTACCTCCTTTCTACAAAGTTATGGAGCATATTTGAAACCAAAATAAAGAAGTTAAACCACAAAATGGGGGATGGGGGCAGAGTCCTAGAAACAGAAGATTCATTGCAAGAGAGAAGCAAAATGATTTCTAAGATAAGGGTGAAAGGGAAATCCCAGGAGGACACACACA